CGGGGGGAGAGAGAGAGAGAGAGAGAGAGAGAGAGAGAGAGAGAGAGAGAGGGGGGAGAGAGAGAGAGAGAGAGGGGAGAGAGAGAGAGAGAGAGAGAGAGAGATAGGGAGAAGGGAGATCAAGTGAAGATGATAAAGGAAGACACAGCTTGAGAGAGAGAGAAAGAGAGAGAGAAACAAACAGACAGACAGACAGGTAGACAGACAGACATGTAGACAGACAGACATGTAGACAGACAGACAGACAGACAGACAGACAGACAGACATACAGACAGACAGACAGACAGACAGACAGACAGACAGACAGACAGACAGACAGACAGACAGGCAGACAGACAGACAGACAGACAGACAGAGACATAGAAAGAAAGAAACAGAGAAATATAACAGTCATAGAAATACGTATTGTACTTTGAAAGAAGATCAAAACGTGAGTGCTGTAAGCGCGGTAGTGGTAAAAGCCGGAAGTGACGAGAGGCTTGCTGGGAACCCTGGGACCACAAAGAAATTATCTCCCTTGACGTAATGCATATTTGTGAGGCAGCGTGGTGGAATCAGGCTCTCGTCAGAATAATCAAAATGAAGAAACTTGCATTTTTCCGCAGGTTTTTGAATTTTTATTAAATTTTTGTTTCTTGGCTTGACTCCTTTCGTGCTCATTAAAGAACTCATTTCTGTGTGGATTGTTCAGAAAAACGTTTATTAAAGACACAGAAAATGTAAATGTTCAGTTATCACGGACTCTAAAGCTAAGGAAATAACTAACCTTTGGCGGCCATTTTCTCACAAATTTTACCTCTGAAAACAGGTGACCCCCACCTCCGTCTTTAGTAAATATCTCGACTCGTATTCAAGATAAATGGATACTTTTTTCATCCTAATAAAGACAAGTAAACAAGCTTTAAGATGATACCAATAACTCTACATGCCCAAAAACTGACGAGAGCCTGATTCCACCACGCTGCATCACATTTGTTAATTACAATTAAAACACAGCTTTTCTGTATTCTCAAGCCAGCGTAAAAGGTTGGGGGTGGGGGTAGGGTGGGGGGTGGGGGGGGGGTGTTTCTAAACTAATGTTAATGTAAATAAGAATAGAGGCGACGAAGACGGGTAGATTCGTGAAAGGAAAAAATAACAACCCGGATTAAAAAGAGTTTATTATGTCTTTAAAACGGTACTCCTTTTTCTTTTTCTTTCTTTTCTTTCTTTTTTAAATTTTTATTTATTTATTTATTTTTGTTTTTCTACGTTTTCTGTCTCTTCTGTTTGCTTTGCTTTTAACCAGAGCTCAAGCTTTTACATCGTGATTAAGTGTTACGTGTTGAGTCTTTTGTTCATAGCATGTCTTGATGTTTGTTTGTGTACACATGTCGGTAGAAGTTTTCTGCGTTCTTTAGTATCAGGTCGGCTTGTTCTTAGAGAGAGAGACAGAGAGAGAGGGAGAGAGAGAGAGAGAGAGAGAGAGAGAGAGACAGAGAGAGACAGGGAGACAGAGAGACAGAGAGACAGAGAGAGACAGAGAGAGACAGAGAGACAGAGAGACAGAGAGACAGAGAGACAGACAGAGATAGACAGAGAGAGAAAGAGAGATACTATAGGGAGAGGGGGAAAAGGAGGAGAGGCAGGGAGGGAGAGAAAGAGAAAGAGGACAGACAGACAGACAGACAGACAGACAGACAGACAGACAGACAGACAGACAGACAGACAGACAGACAGACAAACAGACCAACAGACTAAGAGACACGGAGGGAAGGACGCAAGAATAGGATACTTTTTATTGTTAACATCGAACTTAACACATGAGCAAGAAGCCGAGGTAACGGCCCAAAGTATCTAAGTTAACCCTCTTTCCCTGTGACACCATCGTCCAGCTCTGACCACGCCATTTTCACGACCATTTGTTTTTCCTTTGACAATAACAACGACAACGACAACGACAACGACAACGACAACGACAACGACAACGACAAAGACAACGACAAAGACAACGACAGCGACAAAGACAACGACAACGACAACGACAGCGACAAAGACAACGACAACGACAGCGACAACGACAAAGACAACGACAACGACAACGACAACGACAACGACAACGACAACGACAACGACAACGACAACGACAACGACAACGACAACGACAAAGACAACGACAAAGACAACGACAGCGACAAAGACAACGACAACGACAACGACAGCGACAAAGACAACGACAACGACAGCGACAACGACAAAGACAACGACAACGACAACGACAACGACAACGACAACGACAACGACAA